AACAGCAAAACATATCTCACCCTCAGAGTGCCCCCCTAATCAAATGTCACATTCCAGAAATGAGTGTTTAATGGGCCGCACCCGCTAGAGACAAACGCCTCGACATTTTAACCAACGTCAGTTTTCCCCGCTGTTCCTCAAAGTGTCGGATAATGCAGCGAGCCGCCTCTCAGTGTGATGTAGTAGACATAAAGAAGTTCTTGAGCAGCCTTTATTGGAAAACAGGAGGCGACCTTTAAGCTCCCCGGAAGGTTGGAGGAATGTGTGGATATGTTGCAGTTGAGTTGTCAGCTATAAGGGAATATCTAATCGCTAGGATCGTGTGCCTGATCTCAGATAACTATTCAGTGTTACTGAGCAGTACAGCACCAACATGTGAAAATATAAAACCATGTGCAACCATACCCCTTTAAAAATCCCAATGAAGCTGAAATGTGTTGCATGTGAGCAAGCTTCTTGCTTAACCCTTTTAACGTCAATGGTTGCTTACAAATTGTCTGGTTATTCTCAGGAATCAGGAAACATTTATTACCAAAATATGTCAAACATACAAGGAATTTGTCTTGGCGGTTGGTGCGTGACAGTAGACGGTGTGACAATAGACAACAAGACAACAGTGCACAAGTAATAAAATAAAGTAAAATGAAATGCTAATGCAATGGGTTAGTAGAATAAGGCTATGAGTTAGTATAAAAGTTAAAAATTTAAAATATTAAAAAAGTTAAAAAAAATATTAAGCCTAAAGTGCACTATTGAACAAGTAACAAAGTGACGAGTGACGACAAAGTGATTAATTACAGTTAAACATGTGCAGTATGAAGGGGAGTGACCGGTGGAACCACGACACCAGATGGTCAGACTCCACCTGTAGGCGGACTCGTCCCCACCAGAGATCAGTCCAATGAGGGTGGTGTCATCCGCAAACTTCAGGAGCTTGACGGACTGGTGACTGGAGGTGCAGCTGTTGGTGTACAGGGAGAAGAGCAGAGGGAAAAGAACGCAGCCTTGGGGGGAACCGGTGCTGATGGTCCGAGAGGCTGAGACATGTTTCCCCAGCTTCACGTGCTGCTTCCTGTCAGACAGGAAGTCTGTGATCCACTTGCAGGTGGAGTCGGGCACGTGCAGCTGGGAGAGTTTGTCCTGCAGCGGGATGGTGGTGTCGGGGTGGGGGAGGGAAGGGTGATACAGAGGCGTGAGCCCCTGATGGGCTGGAGGACTGGGGCAGGTTGGTGGAGCTGTGGGGGATGGGATCAGGACGTTGTCTATCAAATCTGCAGTAGAACTCATTCAGCTCGTCTGACAGGCGGAGGTCATTCATGGAGTGGGGGGGGGGGGGGGGTTTAGCTTGTGAGGTTGAGGTATTTAAAGCCTCTCAAACCGAAACAGAGTCTGAGAACTGTTGGAGTTTCTCAGTACAGATTGCTTGATTTCAAACAGAATTCCCTCCTTTTCATTGACACAGGCATTATGTCATCGGCTGAGACCCGACAGGAGACCAGGCCCTGAAGATGCAGCCGAGCATTTATTCCTCACACTCCTGCTGCCCTCTTGTGATTTTACATTTGTATTACAGGCAAGATCATAATTTGCTGAGGGAATTTCTTGGTGGACATGCACGCACAGACTTTCTTTTGAAGGAGAATGGAGCTGCGTATTTCACACCCTCCCTCATCAGAATGTTTGGGAGTTGTTCATCCTTATTTTCTCATGTGTGCTGAAGTGCTTGTCTGGATATGTATAATATTATCAAAGCAGTCAACATTTGTCTGCAGCACTATATATATATATATATATATAGATAAGATAATTTGGAAATACGAATAAAGAATAGATCTGGAGGATGTCAATCACTATGGAGACCTGGATAGAGGCGGGCACGACGGAGATGACTGCTGAAAAATGGCACAAAAGGAATTACATTCATTGGACATTGATAAGAATTCAGTTTTATTCAGTTGTTAAAAACAAAAATGGTTTGTCTTCCTAAATGCTTTTCATTTCTTTATGAAGAGATTATTGTTTATAATTACATGACAGACAAATAAAACAGGCATGGGCAATGCTCCTGATGTAATGAAACAGATACACAGGTACATCATGGACCCGTCACAGGGCTGACAGAGGCTGACAGCCTAGTGTCACTGATTAGCCTGCATGACTTTGGACTGTGAGGCCCGAGGAGAACATGCAGACGCCACACAGAACCCAGGAACAGTCTGCTGTGAGGCGGCATTGCTAACCACCACACCACGCGCCGCCCCATTTTAAATATGCATTTATTTCACTGGCTTCCTGTCAAAAAAGAAGTGACTTCAAAATCCCGCTGTTGGTTTATAAAGCGCTGAATGGTTTAGGGCCAAAGCACATTTCTGATGTGCTGATACGGTTGTGGGTCAGCTGCCGTTCTCCATGCTGTGTGTTTGCATCTTCCCTTTCCCCTGTGTGTGTGTTTGTGCTGTTTGTCTCCACCTGCAGGGGGCGTGTCTAGAGGAACCAGGTCAAGAGGCGTGGCCATTCATCCTGCACAGCTGATCCACATTCCATGATTTACCCCTAGGGTATTTAGACCCCAGCACCAGAAGGCCTACCTGCCGCGCCGCCTGCCTCATGCCACTCAGACGGCCCCACCTGCTTCACCTGGATTCTACTGTGGAGCTTCGTGCGGTCTGCCACTGCTTGATTCCCTCGGGCTTCAGTCTCTTCTCAGAAGCTCCAAGCTCAGCCTCAATTGTTCATCTCCCTCTGAGTATTTACTCTTATTAAATGACTTGACCTGGTGGTCTGTGTCCTGGGTCATGTGTACAGTCCTAACTGTACCTGATGAACCACACCGACACTTTCTGTTCCCAGAGTCAAAACTAAACTGCTCCACATATCTGGAACAAAGTCTTGAGTCCCTCAGCTCCTTTAAATCCAGATTAAAGACGTTTGTTTGCTGCTGCCTTTCATTAACTGTTTCTGCAATTCAGAATTCTTTAAGGCATTCTAAAACTACGCTGCAAATTATTTTTTAAATCCTTTTTAATGACTTTTTCTTTTACATTTCAATCAATGTTCTTAACTGTTTATCGATATCCTTGCTTTATGTTTGGATGATTTTAATGGTTTTATGTGAAAATAAAAACTATGACTAAATCTATTCTAACTTTTGTTAACGAGACAGAAATGTTGGTGGTTGACGAAGTCACAATACTTTTTTTAATTTCAATTTGAGTAGTTTTAGTAGGAAACGTGCTTATAGCCAGAGGCTGCCGGCGGGTGTGATTCTATATCCCTCTATATAGATTATTGTAGTGTAACGGCGGTTATTAACGCGTCATGATGACGTCATCCACGAACCCAGCAGTGGTTCTTGTGCTCAGACTACGGCCCGCGACGACTACTTTACGCTTCGGCGAGTTTGAATGTGCGCTTTGTTAGTTTAGCTCAGCTGTCTCGGTTTAGTGTCGACGCAGCCTCCTGCAGCACGCAAGGCTGTGATTGGTCTGCTAAATACGTCCTTTACGGAGTCTCACATCTCCGTTTTCATAGCACGATACCGCCATTTTTAAAACGAAGAATGTTTACGAGAGAACGGATCAGATTGAAGAGCTTTTGTCTGAAAAAAAGCGTAAATATGAGCGCTTCTAAAAGCCGTACAATTGCCTTACAATTATATTTTATACAACGCACCCTAAGGATTAAAGTAAGGGATGGAATATCTGAAGAAGTTATGGTAGAGGGTATTCCCCAGGGAGTGTAATTAGTCCAATTTGGTTTAATATAATGATTAATGATGTATTTAAGAAACTTGGGAATAACACTGATTTTCTTCTTTATGCTGATGACACTGGGGCGGCACGGTGGCGTGGTGGTTAGCACTGTCGCCTCACAGCAAGAAGGTCCTGGGTTCGATTCCACCCAGTGGCCTTTCTGTGTGGAGTCTGCATGTTCTCCCCGTGTCTGCGTGGGTTCTCTCCGGGTTCTCCGGCTTCCTCCCACAGTCCAAAGACATGCTCTGGGGATCAGGTTAATTGGTGACTTTAAATTGCCCGTAGATGTGTGAATGTGAGTGCGAATGGTTGTATGTCTCTGTGTCGCCCTGCGATTGGCTGGCGACCAATCCAGGATGTACCCTGTCTATCGCCCGAAGTTGGCTGGGATGGACTCCAGCCCCCCCGCGACCCTGTGTGCAGGATAAGCGGTTTGACAATGGATGGATGGATGGATGGATGCTGATGACACTGTTATATGGAGGAGGGGAAGGAATCTTTCATACATCCATCCATCCATTTTCAACCGCTTATCCGGGGTCGGGTCGCGGGGGCAACAGCTCTAGCAGGGGACCCCAAACTTCCCTTTCCCGGGCCACATCTACCAGCTCTGACTGAGGGATCCCAAGGCGTTCCCAGGCCAGTGCAGAGATATAATCTCTCCACCTAGTCCTGGGTCTTCCCCGGGGCCTCTTCCCAGCTGGCCGTGCCTGAAACACCTCCCTAGGGAGGCGCCCAGGGGGCATCCTCACCAGATGCCCAAACCACCTCAACTGGCTCCTTTCGACGCAAAGGAGCAGCGGCTCTACTCCGAGCTCCTCACGAATGGCTGAGCTTCTCACCCTCTAAGGGAGACGCCAGCCACTCTCCTGAGGAAACCCACTTCGGCCGCTTGTACCCGTGACCTAGTTCTTTGGGTCATGACCCATCCTTCATGACCATAGGTGAGGGTAGGAACAAAGATTGACCGGTAGATCGAGAGCTTTGCCTTCCGGCTCAGCTCTCTTTTCGTCACAACGGTGCGGTAAAGCGATTGCAATACCGCCCCCGCTGCTCCGATTCTCCGGCCAAACTCACACTCCATCTTCCCCTCACTCGTGAACAAGACCCCGAGGTACTTGAACTCCTTCACTTGGGGTAAGGACACATTCCTTATCTGAAGTAGGCAATCCATCGGTTTCCTGCTGAGAACCATGGCCTCAGATTTAGAGGTGCTAATCCTCATCCCGACCGCTTCACACTCGACTGCGAAACGCTCCAGTGAGAGTTGGAGGTCTTTCATACATAATTAACCATATTCAGAAAGATGTTCAGGTTCTAGAACAATGGGATGACTTAGTTATCTATTCAACAATCAAATGTCATGGATTTTGGAATTAACTGGAAATCTGAAAATGATGCTCTATAATCAACCACTTGAAAGAGGAGAGAGGTTCACATACCTAGGGGTTTGGTTTAATGATCACATTTCATGGAAACAGCGGTCACTGTAGTATAGGAATTTATATCCCAGAATTTAAAAGAAAGTATGAATTTAGAAAAACTAATTATTTATCTGTTTACGTGATATTAAGTGAAATGGTTGGAAATAAAACCCCTTAAATCAATTATATGTACAGACTCCATCTGCAAACTCTTGCAAAGTTTTGAGGGGACATCCTCTCGAGATGACCTCATACTAGAAATAAAATACCTGTTAGAAAATATTAGAAGCCTAGGGATCATAGCTCGGTTTTGCTGGGTCCCAGCACATATTGGAATAAAGGGGAATGAAATGGCTGATAAAGTAGAAAAAAATTGGAAAAAGAACATATAGGCATTAAGGTTCCATTAGGAAAAGGTGAAGCTAAAAGTTTAATAAAGATCGAGACCATGCAAAGGTGGCAAGGTGAATGGGAATCTGACCCTAAAGCTGGACAATACCATAAAATACAACGCCAGGTAGGAGGGAAAAGAGTCTCCACATTGGTCTTTGACAGAAGAGAGGAAGTGGTACCAGACTAAGACTAGGTCGTACAGGTCTTAATTCCACACTTAAGATGATAGGAAAAGGTGATGGATTCTGTACTGAATGTAAAGCTAAAGAAGATGTTGTTCAGACATATTCTTTTTAACTGTAAGAAAAATAATAAGTTCAGAATGAAATGTCAAGAGGTCGAAGCTGAAAATGAGAGGCTTATAAATGATATTCTAGAGGAACAAGGGATGCATCGAGACAGAATCAAAGCTTTTGTTATATTTCCGAATGATTCAGGTCTAATGAAAATAAGTTATTTATTTTTTTAACAATAGTCTAGCCATGCCATAAGTCAATTTACACGCTTCTGTATAGTAGGTGGCGGTATACGCTACTATCGCGGTAACCCGCCAAATAGAAGAAGGAGAAGAAATAGAGATGCTTCACCTGGGAGGCCTCCTCTTCAGGGCGCTGATTGTCTGGATTGATTTCAGGTGTGGAGCCACACACCACGCTTCAGGGCTGCTGTGTTTCTGCTTGCTCGAGCGAAAAAGGAGCATCCATCGTGCATCGGCAGGAGTGGAGACAAGCTGCTCTTCCCCATGTCGACGGCGGTCTGAACACACCGGCTTGGGAATGGCTTGCAGGTAATGCTGGTTCACATGAGACATTATAGTGCTTTGGTAAACCGTATGCTGAGGGTTCTTTGGATCTTAAAGGTCCCCTTAAAATGTGACACTTTTAAGTTATTTTGCTTCCTTCACATCTGAAATTCACCCGTAGGTCTAAAATGTACTACTTTGTCTATTGAGTCAATTTTCAAAACTTTCCAATAGATAATTTTCGCAAAATATTTCCAAAAACTTCTAGTACAATCAATTGGGAATTTAAATATTTGAACCTATTCACCTGCTGTGTCTTCAATATGAAACTGAGCCATTTTCTAACCAGAAAGCACCTTTTCAGTAGCTCTTACATCCACAAACTTTCAAGTTTCATTCCTATTTATTTAGATTCTGATGCTTTCTGTTTTTTAATCATTCATAGCCTCGTTGATAGAAACAGGTGTCCAGATTCCCAATAAGCACATTTAATAAAATTCCTCATTTAGCATAGTTCACCATGCAATTTAATAAAACTCGTTAGTCCCCAAAATAATTGTGTTGCTGGAAGTGGTTGCCTGGGGAACTTCAATGGTAATGGTCTACCAAACATGATTTGGGTGTGAATTGCTTGTGGTGTTCAGGTTGAGTTGTGGAGATACAGTTTTTTTTTTTTCTTTTTTGAACAAAAGCCAAACAATATTTTCTTTAATGTAATTCTTTTTGTTTTTCTTTACATGGCTATGTTGTAATCCTCAGACTCACCTGCTCAAAAGTGTTGCGCTTTTTTCGGAGCCTGACCCGAAAGAAGCCTCTGAAGCCCGAGGGTGAGGTGTCCAACTTCTGCTGTTGCTTGACCACCTTAGACCTGGTTGGCCTGGGCATCGGCAGCACGCTTGGAGCCAGCGTCTACGTACTATCTGGAGAGGTGGCCAGGAAAGTGGCCGGCCCCAGCATCATCATCTCCTTCCTGGTTGCGGGGGTGGCCTCCATCTTTGCCGGGTTATGTTACTCAGAGTTTGGGGCCCGGGTGCCCAAGACTGGCTCAGCTTACCTCTATAGCTATGTGACTGTGGGGGAGGTGTGGGCCTTTGTGGCTGGCTGGAACCTGCTGCTGTCCTATGTCATTGGTAAGTAAAAGTGCACAATGAAGGGGGATGGGCTGTGCTGAGGCTAAATGCACGACATAAGGAAGATCCTCTGAACCATTGGAAGTTTTGTCTGGGGCAGGGCTTCTCAACCTTTTTGAACTCTGGGGCCCAAGTACGAAGTTCCACTGATAGTCCTCTATGAATTAAATTAACTTTTGCCGCTTTGGCAGTTGTTTGGCGTTTTTGCCGCTAGTAAACAGAAGTAAGCATATTTGGACTATGGAGGAGTAATGTATAGACACTTGATACAACTCTGGTAGGCTATAGACCTGTCAATCCCCCTCAGTGGCCAGCAGAGAGAATGACACTTTTGCAATGTCTTAACTGATCACCGGCCTTGGTTTACGTCCGCTGTGTGTGATACCTGACGTAACCGCTAGCTGCAGTCAGTTAGTTCAGGGAGACTGAGTTGAAGCTTTTTGCATTGGAAGTCAAACAAACAAACAAACAGAACCGTGCACAGGAATTCCTTCACGTGTCAAACGGAATGACCACTTTAGGACTGCTGCACGGAACATGTTGCTAGCTGCAAGGCTAAGCTAGCTGCTAGGCTACTTCCATCTCAATATCTACCCTACAGAGTACCACCACTGTGTCCCTAAAAGACAGTGGTTTGAAAAACGCCCCCGCTAAATGTTGGGACATTGTTGGGCACAAACTTGTCCACTTGTTGTTTACAATGTTTTCACCTCGTTTTGGCAATGGCACGGTTTTGCGACTGTATGGGACGAATATATTCATCCAATAACTACAAATAATGAATGTCAGATACATAACTGTCATATTAGTTATCTCAATTCTAAGTTTGTAACCCGTAAATGGCAGACGTTTCAACATCCAAAGTCCATTGTGACTAGGAGCATTTCCCAAAGCACTTGATGGTTATCACTAAATATCAGTGCCTGAAGTTTAAAAGACTAACAAAATATATTGCTTTTGTTTGATCTTTTAATCAACAACCGTATTGAAGACATTAACTTGCAAATGTTTGCCATCCATCTGATATCCCACATGACACTGCATTGCCCAATTTATCACTGAGGGGACAATGGTCACGTCATAGATGTTATGATAAAGTCCAGATTTCATTTTTTTTTTTTAAGTAAAAAAAACTAGTTTGACAAATCTAAATGGCTCTGTACCCCTTGTTCTTCTCAGGGACATCTAGTGTGGCCAAAGCCTGGACGGGGACTTTTGATGACCTTATAGACAACAATATTTCTCAAACTCTAGAAGACCATACACCAATGGAGTCGCTTGGCTTGGCTTCATACCCAGACTTTTTTGCTGCTGGGCTGATTATGTTGCTTGCTGGTGATCTGTCATTGTCATTTTATGTGAAAGTTGAGAACAGAAGATGCAGTGCTCAAAGAGTTGACACTTTTGACCTGAATGAATTGATCTTTTTCTTTTTAATTCCAGGGGTTCTTGCTCATGGTGTGAAGGAGTCAGCCGTCATCAACACAGTTTTTACTGCAATCAATGTATTGGTTTTAATTTTTATCATCATCGCTGGCTTTATAAAAGGAGACCTCAACAACTGGCGCAGCAGTCGGGAGGTGATCCTGGATGCAATTCTTCTCATGGAGTAAGATCTTTTTTTTTTTTTTTTCTTTTGTAAAAAAAAAACCCGGCAATATGATGTAAATAATAACTATGCTCAGAGTTCAGAATTTTCTTCATTATCAAAGTAATTCTGTGAAAGCCCTCTCCACAACTAACAAGAATCACAAATGGCAAGTTTGTTTAGTTAGGTGCTGCTCAAAAGTAAACCTAAGACGATAACTCGCTGAATAACATTATTTCCCGTTTACTTGTCCAAATTATGGGGAATTCTAGTTCCAAAACACCGCTTGAGTGTCATAGAAAAAGGACAATAATCACAAGGCGCTTCAAAGTGCTCCACATAAAACCATTGAACCTCAAACATAAAGCAAGGAGATTTACAGTTAAGAACATTTGATACATTGAAACATTAAATAAAGTCATTAAAAGGATGAAGTTCTTAAAAAATGTAAAAGAATAAAATTGGCAGGGTAATTTAAGAATGTCTTTAAGAATTCCGAATTGCAGAAACCGAAAAGTCTTTAATGTGGATTTGACTGATTGGACTCAGCAGCTCTCTGGGACTGTACCAGCAGGAAAAATGAATGTTTAGTTCTGACTCTGGGAACAGAAAGTAGACCAGTCCCAGGCGACCTAAGGATTCGTTCGGTTCATAAGGTATCAGCAGATCAGAAATGTACTTTGGCCCTAAACCACGTATGTTGTTCGCGTTCAATCAAAGAGGTCGGTATCTGGCCCGAACCTGAGAAGAGTTTGACACCCCCCTGCCCTAAACCATTCAGCGCTTTATAAACTAGCAGCAAGATTTTAAAGTCAATTCTTTGTTTGATAGAAAGCTAGTGTAAAGAACTGAGAACTGGAGTGATGTGATCCACTTTCCTGGTCCTTGGAGGACTTGAGCTGCAGCTTTCTGGATCAGCTGAGGAGATTTGTTTGACTTTTTACAGAAACATGTAAAAACACTTACAGTAGTCGAGTCTTCTGAAGATAAATGCATGGACATGTTTTTCCAAATCAGGTTGAGACATAAATCCTCTAATCCTTGATATATTCTTTGGGTGATAGTCTGATTTTGTAACTGTCTGATTTTGTTGAGGTCCGAATCCATAATTGCACCTAGATTTCTAGCTTGGTTTGTGGTTTTTAACATCAGTGATTGAAGCTCAGCGCTGACTTTCAATCGTTCATCCTGGTTACCAAAAAAAATTCTGTTTTGTCTTCTGTTAATTGAAGAAAGTTTTGATGCAGGGTGGGGGGAGAAATTACATAAAACAAATCAATTCGATTGAGTGTAATGACATTTCTTTACAGGAACTTTACAACTGCACAAAATGAAACCATGGACTTTGGTGTTGGTGGCTTCTTCCCCTTCGGCTTTGATGGCACATTAGAAGGAGCAGCAACCTGTTTCTATGCATTTGTGGGATTTGACTGCATCGCCACAACAGGTATCGTTAAGTACTGAGAGAGGAGCACATTTTGGGGAATTGACTTCAACAGTATCTGGCTGATGGAAGGGCCCTTTCTAGGGGAGGAGGTGAACAACCCACAAAAAGCCATTCCTCTTGCAATCGTGGCGTCACTGCTCATCTGTTTCTTGGCCTATTTCGGCGTATCAGCCGCTCTCACACTTATGATGCCCTACTATCTGCTCGACGGCCACAGCCCTCTACCTGTGGCCTTTGAGTATATTGGTTGGGAGCCTGCAAAGTACGTTGTGGCAGTGGGATCCCTCTGTGCACTCTCGACAAGGTACTGGTCTCATCTTTTTTCTTTTTTTTTTCTCCTGTATGATGTTTTAAGTTTCCGTTGCTAGTCTCCAGTTGCCCATTCTAGTTTTACCCTAAGCCTACAATGACCTGGCCATTGTTGGGCTCAGAATTGGTACTTGCATGATGGAAAAATGAAAATAATGTATGTAGTGCAACCATAACGTTTTTATTTACATGGTCTAAAATGAAATGTCACATGACTTGTCAAGTCCATTTCAGTCCAGTTGTAGTAGTGCACATGGAATAAATGTCTAACTTGCTTGACATTAGCAAGCTCTACATTCGCTCAGTGAAGCGGTGCTGTCATGTTTCCACAGTCTCTTGGGAATGATGTTTCCAATGCCGCGGGTGCTCTTTGCCATGGCGAGAGACGGCTTGCTCTTCAAGCCTCTCTGTTATATGAGCTCCAGACAAAGTCCCGTCGTTGCCACGCTGTCTTCAGGAGCAGTGGCTGGTAATCTAGTTGCAATCATTTTTTTTCTTTAGAGTTTATAAAGTGTGTGACCACAGTTTAGCAACTAAAGTACAGCGGAGTGCGAACGCTTGTCAGGTGATAAATGGGCAATAACCATGCACAGCTCTCACAGCTTCTTTAATGGGGGGGCCACATACTGCCTACATAGGTAGGGGGCCACATACTGCCCACTTTGATGTCACGCGGGCTGGATCAGTAAAATCATCAGCGATTGTACAGTCTACAGGGGGGTGCGGATTATCCGGTTGACGGAGGTTGCGCAGTCATTTTCTAATGGGCGGGCCTCCCTGGAAGAATGCTGTTGCTGACCCCCCGGTCTAACGCATGTGCTCACTCAGTGCGACGATCCCCCCCCCAGTCGTGATTTATGTCTGTCATTTATACACTTAGCAAAGTCATCCAGCGGGCCGCACTGGACCCCCCGGCGGGCCGTATGTTTGACACTTCTGGTCTACGCTGTATGTATACTAGTTACTTATGAGCAGGTGGTTTGGTAGCTCCTGTAATCAGTGTGTGGATGATGATGTTTCAATTTGCCATGAACCATTCAACTCCCTCACCACAAACGATATTACATATATTTTTGTGGTAACATGGAGCCAACCATGTTATCCAACTAAGCATGCATTTTGGTTCTCCTTTGCAGCTGTCATGGTTCTGTTATTTGACTTGAAGGCGCTTGTTGACATGAGTTCAATTGGGACCATCTTTGCCTACACCCTTGTTGCAGTGTGTATTCTCGTACTAAGGTATATTCACTTGGAGTACCTAATGTAAACTCAATCGTTGGTTAATAAACTTTTGGATTTTTAAGTTATCCACAAAATGGAATTTACTGCCAGCTTTTTTTATTACTGATTTAAGTATCTTTGTTTCAAAACAGTTAGCATGTTGTTGTTTTTTACTTCCCCAGGTACAAAGAAGGCCCCGGTCTTGTTCGTAGGCAGGAACTATTTAGTTTGACGGGTCTGTTGAGGCCTCCATCTCAACCCACTCACCGCACCTCTAAAAATGTCAATATAGTCCTCATCATCATTTGTAAGTAAGCTCTCATTGTTCTGCTGAGTTGAATTGTATTTTTCTATCTATAGTCTTGTTGTCTGAGCCCAACGCCAACCCTGATGCCGATAATAACCACATGCAGACTTTCACGGTCATAATGCATGCAAGGCTTCCCTCTCAATACTATAGCTTCTGCCCAAGCAGCAAAATTGGAGAAATTGTATGATTGAAGTACATGTTGCCAACTATAACATATTTTCCATCTTAGTAGTTTGTCAACAGTGTCACTTTCCAGAGTTGCTGGAACAGAAATCAACAAAATGTACCTAGAAGAAATGCAGAGTCTTAAACACTCAATGTAGAAAGTTTTGCCTCACAGCTGCGATTCCTCCTCAGTGTTGCTGGTGATGGCCTTAAGCGTGCTGCTGTCAGAGGCTGTGCCCTCCCTTCGCAGAAGAGAGTTGTGGAGCATGCTGCTCGTCTCTGTCCTCACGCTGACACTGGTCCTCGCCGTCATTATCATCTGGAGACAGCCACAGAGCACAAACAAAGCGGCTTTTATGGTAAACTGGGAGGGGTGGTGGTGTGGAGGTTTTCCTGCATGCTGAGGAATTGCCCACTATCCAGTTCCAATGGGGTAATCTTGTTAAGTGGGTCAGTTAACCGGCTTACCGAGGTTCTTCTGACATGCAGAGAGGCCAGCCAAGGGTAAACCTTCAGCAATTGAACACAATTTGAAAAACTACCCTTTTTTGGTTTCGAAGAACTTTTCTATTTATAACTTTTTGGGGCTGATATGAGCTACGATATATGCAACATTGCCTGTTTGTCTGTTTTAGGACTGGGGATTTTTTTATCTTTGTTGGAATCCCCACTTATCGTGGCAGGTCTTTGCTACAGCTGCCTGTCTTTTACATAAACAAAGTCCAAATCGGTTAACCAGATTTAGTCCCCTCACATCTGTCCATTGGAGGCCAGTGACACAAACTTAGTTTCACTTGCACCTCTTTAATGTCTACACGTGTTTAGCATGTTTATTGAGTCAAACTAGAATGCCGTGAGAGTAAGGAGTTTGACATGGATCTGGTATTGTGCCGGATGCAGGAGGTCCAAAAGGTATGACGGGACTAAAGGTGTTAGTATGAGGTGAGGATAATGTTAAACTGTCTTCCTTACCCAATGGGGAGCCAGTGGCGGTTTTGCAGGACTGGGCTAATTTGGTCTGATGCAGAAGAGCAGCTGAATTCTGGATGAGTCTTTCAGCTGCAGAAGAGGACAGGGTCGCTGCAAGGATTATATCAAAAAGGATGCAAAGTAGTGGAGGCAGGAACTCCAACTAATACAGCCCCGCTCAAAAAGTTTTTGTTTTTTTAGGTTCCTGGTGTACCCATAATTCCAGTTTTAAGTATCCTAATGAATACCTACCTGATGGTTCAGCTTGGAGGAGAAACATGGACCAGCTATGCTATCTGGATGGCGTTAGGTAAGCATGCTACTGTCAGGTGCCCTAAATAACCAACTCAATGTGTTATGTTTGACATTTTTCAAGTTGTTATTTGATGGAGGGGTCTGTATTCACTTTTTAAAAGCCTTAACTCTTTCCTCAGGTCTGATCATCTATTTTGGCTACGGGGTTCGTAATAGCGTCCAAAAGCAAAGGCTGCGGGAGGCTCGTATCCAACTAAATACCGCTGTAAACGGTGACGTTGTGCGTTGAATTGTGTTGCTGTCCACGTGCATGGAACAACCTGATCAAAGAAATATAGTTGAGGTCATTTAGGAATAACCTCGATACCTATTTTAGTATTTTGAGTATTCTGCCAGTTGAATCAACTTTTTTTTCATGGATGAATGTTTATGCCAACTGCTTTTGTTAAAAGTATTCTATCAGTATTGTATATATTGTACCTGTAATACAAGTGTCATATTATCCATTATGACTAATCAGTCTTTCAAGACTCTAATCTTGGATATTTTTGTTTAACTTCTCGGTTTTGAAACTGACAATTAAAAAAAAGTATCTGTATTGTATGAAAAATAATAAATTTGTAGAAAACAGCCTGCCTTAGATTTTGCTGAAGAAATTCAACCTGCCAAAGACGATGATGGTGCACTTCTACACGGCCATAATGGAGTCCATCCTCTGCTCCTCCATCACCGTCTGGTACGCTGCAGCCACAGCCAAGGACAAGGGCAGGCTGCAGCGTGTCATCCGCTCTGCAGAGAGGGACTTGTTCGCTTCCAGGTCTCTGAAGCAGCTAAAAAGATGGTAGCCGACCCCTCTCACCCCGGACAAAAACTGTTTGTGCCCCTTCCATCAGGCAGGAGGCTGAGGTCCATCAGGACTAAGATCTCCCGCCAAACAAAGCAGCAGTCGTTGCCAAATCAGGCTACCTTTTATGCAAGTTTTTTAATGTGATGTCGGAATTGATTTCTTATATTTTGTATATCATGAAATTGCTGAAAGTACCAATTTCCCTCAGAGGGCTTTAGTCTGTCCCAAAACTCATTAAACGCTGAAAAACCCTTCGATTGCGAGGGGAAAATATGGTGGCAAATCACTGTCAAAATTCGAGCGCGCAAATCAAACATCCGCGAGCAAATGTCCCTCTTGCCGGTCAGTCAGTCTGAATATCTTGCCAACTTTACCGAACTATGGAGGAGCCTGCACACATCTTGTCTCATTATTTCAATTTTCCAAAAAACGATCCGTATTGAAAGTTGATAAGATATTCACAGATTCGGACTTCATTTTACCAATACGGACCGGTCTGCAAGCTGGACGCATCGGTCTTAATGTGCGGCCGAAGTGCCGGTAATGATGGTAAATGATTTTGATGATGAAATTGTAGCTGGTTGTCATCTACGGTCAGAGAGGTGTCGTTTGTATTTTGACAACGTTTTATCTCATAATTTCGACTTTCTATCCCCTTTCTGTTGTAAGGAAATGGGCTTCTATAAATGCATAACTCCAGCCACACAGCATAAAAGGACTGAAGAATCATTTGTCAGTATGCAACCCTCCTTTTAGTTTAACATGACAAAAACACTCCATGAACTGTGACTGCCCACCAGGATGTGAACGAAGTCCACCTCTGGTCCGGAGTCCATCGACAGCAGCTCGATCTAGATGAAGATGGATCAAGGACTCACCAGGACAATTATGAAAATGTTCATTGGAGCTACTGAGAATTATGTGCACTTATGTGCATAAATATAGCATTACCTGCACCCCCCCCCACTCAGATATACCCAGTGCTGCTAATTACAACTACCACTAGAATGCAATAATTCAATTATTTTATCTGGGTAATTGAATGAATTAAACACCATCTCTCCATGTTTTTGTCCATGCGTTGATACTTCATTCTCCATCTATTCTCCTTTTATTTCCACCATCGCTCTGCTCCCTCAATCACAGCTCTGATCGATGTTGGGACTGCCATGGCTGTGATTGTTATCGGGATGCGATTTACCAGGTGGCATTAATTTATGCAGCCAATCTTAGTGCTCATTTGTCAAGCATCACTCATCATTTGTGGAGCCCGCAGGACACGCGCCTGCCAGTCTCCGAGGGGCCTGACATATGTTGTTTTGTTATTTGAATTGCGATTAGCGTATGTGTCTGCGTATTAAGGAAGCAGTGGAACGCGACCACCACAATATGGCAACACCTTAGTGCTACTGGAGAGAGGGGGGATCCTGCAGCATGTTTTCCATGGAAGTCCATATTGTAATTGTTTTTATTCAACCTTGAAGTAACACGAGAAAGGCCGAATAACCCCAACTGTATAAGACTAAAATCAAAGAATACATAAATAAATCCTCGCATTCACTCGCATAAGAATAACTATTACAAAGTCTCTCAAAATCAGCAGAGCGCCTCCGAATACATCAGGGCATCAAATTCTCATCATCCTTGGTGAATGTCCGTCATGTTGGTTGCTCGATCAACCCCATGAAGTGTTTGCAAATTTACAATTTGACATGGTGGTGTTAAATGGTGGTGTTATACATTTCCGTGACACACTATATAATGGGACATCATCAGCAATACTGGGATATTATGTATGATATTGTCATATTACGCCTACTTGTACTGTTGATCTGTACCCTTATCCCTATTGGTGTACTCATATGTGAGATTTGTAGGTTTTAGAGTATCTGTTTATTGTTTTTTGCACTTGTGGTTTGGCTCACCTGCAGAGGGGATGGAGAAGGGAGTGGTTCGGGGAACAGTGGCAGGGGGAGGCATAATTGCCCTCAGGTGGGAGTAATCAGGGTGTGTGTGATCCTTAAGGAGAGTTCCGGCGACAGCGAGAGCAGACTGAGGCAGGCGAGGAAGCCGGAGCCGGATGCTTGTGTGATTAAAACGGACAATAAAAGACTGTTGGCAGAAACCCATTGCTGTATCCGGGTTATCCCCCCCCCCCCCCCCATTTCCACCTCTTACTAAAACAGCTCAAACCATTTTAGATCCCTCATATTTCAGTCTGGACCAATGTTACATCTCTGCTACCAGCATGGTTTAAAACACCAAATAGTTAGAAAACAGACAGTTAAGAGAAACCAGATTTCACATGAAAGCAGAAGAAAAAAAAGTGAGTAAGTTCTTTATTTAAGCACAACTGTCTCTGCAGAAATCACTCTGCTTCTCCATCTCTTTCACCTCCAGTGTATTAGGAGGTTAACTATCAACATGTGGATGTAGGATGTTTAGGAAATCAAGGATGAAAAGACAAAGTACCATTTTCCAATGCGGGTTCAGAATTATGCAAAGGGAAAATTTGTCCTTGTCCAATTGAATTAGTCAAAGCTTTTTAGCCCCTTCAAGGACACTGCTTTTCTAATGGGTTCGTGCCCACTGCATGTGTGGAACTGAAATATCCAAGAATTTTAGCTTTACATTCAGGGAATACCCAATTGTTTGGGTATCCAACACATATTGGTGATTCCCTACCACCTCATGTTGCATGGCCATGTTTTTCAAATGTGCATGACTATTTTTACATTTCCAAGATGCTAAATGCGTTAAATTAATGCAACATCGCAAAGAATAGTAAGTATTCAACTATATTGCTAGATGTTCAACGTGTTATTTTTCAAAATTGTTCCATAACAATAGTGCTTTGAATTTGAAACAGACTCACAACAAGGGAGAGGTTGAGTACTGGAACTTTATTGATTCCACTGGACGCTGAGGGATTCAGGAGTTATAATGTGGACGAGGAGTGTTGGACTGTCGTTTGTCGTTGAGGATGGATGGATGATGAGGAGGAAGATAGCTGGTGCACTCACCACGGACAGGAGAGAGGTGAGTGGCGGGGAAGACGACAGGACCCAGGAGGGAGAAGGAGATGATGGGGACGCAGGTAGGCCGATAGCGAACTTTCCTTGTTCCGGTAGGGGAGCAATGCATCGGCGTGAGTCCTTACTCAGAAACAAGACCAGACAATGTGACTGTGTGAGGAAGGTGCTTTGACTGAGCTGATGAGGTAATGACGTGCAGGTGCTGGAGATTAGAACTCAGTTGACCGTGATCTGTGTGATTGTGTGGTGGAGGAGCCTGGTTGGTCCCTGACAACTATAGGGAGTTTACATATTGAACCATCATTTGTGAGATTATCGTTATTTGCACAAATATTTTATTATTTTAAAAAGTTAACAAGAGGGGATTTTTTTTTGTATTCGCTGTTGAATGGATGTTTTATGGATGTGGGATAATCTGATTCATGGTCATGGATCCTCCATGGCACTCGTCAGTGCTCTTATGCTTCATATTATGAACCTCTACGGTTCGGGGGGTGTATTTTTTAGATAGTAAAGTAAAATGTCCCCTCTTCATATACATTCATAGCGTTTCCATACAGTTTAGGTAACAAAACTACGCGTCAGTGAAGTACATATCAGCTCAGGTCAAATGAGTCAGCCGTCTCCTGTCCTTTTGTTTGACCTCCCCTCAACTGTCCCTGACCGTGAATAAATACGGGCGAAATACGACGAAAACTACCTTTTTCCCATGACTAAGACGTGATGAAAATGGATCTATTCTAACTTTCAATAACAAGATGAGACGAAAATATTGGTGGTTGACAAAAAATACTTGTTTTCCCCTAAATTTGCATGCACCTAACATCATTGTTTGAATGTTGCCGGGTCCTGTATCCATACTCCCTTCCCTGATAAAGTTGCACCAAATGCGAAAAGTGGTCTGTGGCAGGTTCCTTTGTCAGAACGGCAGGTTGCGCGGTTGGTGGCAGGTTCATTTGTCAGAACGGCAGGTTGCGCGGTCGGTGGCAGGTTCCTTTGTCAGAAGGGCAGGTTGCGCGGTCAGTGGCAGCTTCCTTTGTCAGAACGGCAGGTTGCGCGGTCGGTGGCAGGTTCCTTTGTCAGAACGGCAGGTTGTGCGGTCAGGGGCAGCTTCCTTTGTCAGAACGGCAGGTTGCGCGGTCGGTGGCAGCTTCCTTTGTCAGAACGGCAGGTTGCGCGGTCGGTGGCAGATTCCTTTGTCAGAACGGCAGGTTGCGCGGTCGGTGGCAGGTTCCTTTGTCAGAACGGCAGGTTGTGCGGTCAGTGGCAGCTTCCTTTGTCAGAACGGCAGGTTGCGCGGTCGGTAGCAGGTTCCTTTGTCAAAAGGGCAGATTGCGCGGTCGGTGACAGGTTGCGCGGTCGGTGGCAGGTTCCTTTGTTTCAGAACGGCAGGTTGCGCGGTCAGTGGCAGGTTGCGCGGTCAGTGGCAGGTTGCGCGGTTGGTGGAAGGTTCCTTTGTCGGAATGGCATAAGCCGATCTCTGTTGGGTATTTAGCGACAATTCCATGTAATGTTAAATGAGTATCTTCACGACCATGGGTTTGCCGTAAATGTTTTAGTAAACTTGAGAATCTGGCACAACACAGCGACTTGCAAGTAGCGCAGTGTCTTAAATAAAGGGATGTCTGTCTTAAAGCGGCTTTAGAAATGAACACAAAGGGATTCTGTATTTGCACATGAAGTCTGAAACGGGCAATGTCCGAAGCCAGCAGACAGAAAGCACCAGCGGACTGACTACTAATCCTTGC